TTGCACCGTCGACATACATTACGACGCCTGCGGTGTGCGCGCCTCCAGCCAGAACGTCTCCGCAGGGGGCAGCCTGCGCCGGCCACCCCTTCGGGGCGATCTCTCGGCCTGCACCTGGAACGCGCAGGCGCTCTTCGCTAACGACGCCATCCGGCAAAGCAGCAAGTGGAATCACCTTGAACGTCTACTTCACCAGAACGACGTAGTGCTGATCACGGAGTCCCACGGCACCATGGACTCCTTACAGCTGGCTGCGGCCCCGCATGGCTCCCAGGCGTGGTGGGCCCCAGGGACGGCGCGCCGCGGAGGAGGCGGCGTGGTGGTCAAGGATTCGTTCCTGGAGCACTTCACGCGCCGCGACTGGGTCATCCTGCACCCGGGCCGCGCCGCTGCCCTTCGACTGGACGGTCCGCTCGGCGCCGTGGATTTCTACGTGACTTATTTCCAGACGGGCACTTCCACCGACTTCGCTGCTCCCTCGGAGGCCCAGGCGGACTCCCAGCACGAAGCGGAGGTGGTCCCCCTCCGCCAGCAACGCGCCGTCTTCGAGCTGCCATCGCCCGAAGCACACGCCCAGCACACGAGACGTTGTCCATCATCGCCGGCGACTTTAATTGGGTCGCCGAGGACAGGGACCGCGTCTGCAAGTCCACAGGGACCTACACGGGCCAGCGGGACCGGCCAGAAGAGAATCATTGGTCTCGCCTCCTCCCTGCATTCTCGGAGGTGCACCAGCCCTGCATGACGCATGACTCTGCCCGAGCGCGGTCCCGGCTCGACAGGTTCTACATAAACATGGAAGCCACCGATTTGCTCGACCGCCAGATCACGATCGGGGTGGACGACTGGGACTTCGGCGTCTCCAACCACCGCCCGGTGTTTTTCGCGCGCCGTGCGCCCCCGCCAAAACCAACCTCCAGGAAGCCCATCTCGCTGGATGCGGTCCGTCGCCCGGGCTGGGCACAGGCCGTGGCCCTCCAGTTCCAGACCCTCTGCGAGGAGAGCTCCGCCACGAATGCCGTGCAGTGCTTGGCCCTCCTGCGCGCTGCCATCCGCGACGTGGCAACCACCGAGGACCCCGGGCATCGCGCTGCCCTCGCGGACCCCCCCGACGACCAGATGGGCTGCACCATGGCGTTCATCCGGGCTGTCGAGTCCCATTCCACCTCCGCGATTTCGGCTGCGATCGAGCGCTACCCGCACCTGTGCTCCTTGGTCTCCAACCCCTACGATCCTGCTCTGGCCGCAGGGCGCTGTCTCCTCCCGGTCCGCGCGCACGCGGTCGAGCTGGCCCGCGCCCACGCGATCGCCGAGCTCACGAGGTTGCACGAGGAGTCGCCCGACACTCCCCAGGAGGTATTGCACCGCGCTCGGAAGAAGAACTTGCGCCTCCTCTCCCGCCTTTCGCCAGGAAGGGGCAAATTCGTGCAGGCCACCCGGGACGAGCGCGGCATCCTCCACACGCATCCTGCCGACATGGCTGCGGATTTCAACCACCATTGGAAGAAGGTCTTCACAGCCGGGCCGACAGATCGAGCACTCCGTCGACGATGGTTCGCAGAGGATCTGCCGCCTGATGTTCGTGCTTCCCTGCCTCCTTCGGACTCGCCCCAGTGGCAAGTGCGGCGCGATGATATCAAGAAGGCGATTCGGTGCTCTGGGTCATCGGCTCCGGGCCCTGACGGGATCCCCGCGGAGGCGTACCGACAGCTGGGCAAGCTCGGCATCGACGTCCTCCACGAGGCCTTCTCCTGCCTCTCCGGCCCCGACGGCGAGGAACTCCAGCGCCGCCACCTCCCCGACTTCAACTTCTCTCTCTTGTATATGCTGCCCAAAAAGGAGTCCGGCTACGACGAGGCCGCTGGGCATTTTTACGACGCGGACAAGGTACGCCCGATCAACGTTGTCAGCTTCGACAACCGTATCTTAGCTAATGCTGCCCGCTTCCGCCTGGAGGCAATCTTCCAGCACTGGGTCTCCAAGATCCAACGGGGCTTCGTCGGTGGACGTTCGTTGCTGGCGAACCTGATCGATATCGACACGGAGATGCGGCACACTGCATGATCGCAGGAGGACAGGGCCTGCATCTTCTTCGATTTCCAGGCGGCGTTCCCCTCCATCGACCAGTCATTCATGATGGAGCTGCTGGAGTGGATCGGCATACCGCTGCACCTCTGCAGGTTCATCGCCGCCTTGTACCGCGACAACGTCTGCCAGATTGTGGTTGGGGGGCATGTAGCTCTCACATTCGTGCCGTGCACGTTCGTCTTGAAAGCCTGCGGTGTTTACGCGGATGGTGGGGGATTTGTTTCGAACGTGTGGCTCGCGCCTGGGCTCTGCGCTGCGCCAGCGATCGGATCTTACAGCACTGCCGCCAGGCGCCACCCCGGAGCCAGCGCTAGCGACGATGGGCACGCCCACCAGGACGGCTTAGCCAGCTGCGACGTTACCGACGACGGGAGCGCCAGGCAGCACGGCCTGGCTGGCGCCAGCGCACGGCACTAGCGCCGGCGCGAGCGCTGGCGGCCCAGAGGCAGCGGCGCCGACGCCAACGCCGAGCCAGGCACCACCGCCTGCGCGAGCAGAGCCCGCGCCGGCGGCCGCGCGGCATCAGCACGCCGACGCCGGCGCTGGGCACCACCGCCAGCGCGGGCGCCGCTGGAGGCTCCAGCCCAGCGGCCGACGCACCGACCCGTCAGCGCGAGCACCACTGGCTGGTGCCAGGCGCCAGGCGAACCCAATCACTGGCGCAGGCGCGGCGCTCGAGGCGTGCGCGCGCGCCCTCGAGGGGTCCGCAGGTACTCTCCAGGTGCGCGCGCGCGCGCCCTGGAGCTGCGGCGCTCGCGGCGCACGCATCACCCCGCCTGCCTCCTCGTCCGTTCTCCCCCTCGCCAACGTCCTCCATCGTTCTTTCCGTTCTCCTCGTCCTCGTCGTCCTCCTCGCCCTCTCCCTTCTCCTCGTCCTTTCCTTGCCGCTCCTCCTCGTCCTCCCCGTCCCCTCGTTCTCCCTTTCGCCATCGCGCTCCTCGTACAGTGTAGTGTGTTCCAGTCGACGTTGTCCGCCATCTCTTCGCCATCCCCGCCCTCGCCCTTCTCCTCGTCCTCCTCGTGTTACTCCTGGGGAGAAGCGTTTTGGGGCAAGCAGACGTCGAGCTGCAGGTCGGCTGCTGCGTGCACGCGCCACGAGGTCGCCCACGCGACTGCAAGGACTTTCATAGGCAGGCAGCCCAAGACCTCCACGGGCACCAAACTCATAAGACATCCGCTGCCGTTGTGGTGATGGTGATGATGATGATGCTGATGATGATGATGATGATGATGATGATGATGCAGATGATGATGCGGATGATGATGATGATGACGGCGACGATGATGCTGATGCTGATTATGAGGATGATGCTGATGATGATGATGCTGATGATGATGGTGGTGGTGTTGTTGATGATGATTCTGACGAGGATGCTGCTGCTGATGATGGTGCTGGTGGTGGTGATGATGTTGATGATGACGATGACGATGGTGATGATGATGATGCTGATGCTGATGGTGATGTTGATGAGGGCGATTATGATGGTGATGATGAGGATGGTGATGATGCTGCTGATGATGATGCTGGTAAGGATGCTGGTAAGGATGATGATGATGACGATGATGATGATGATGATGATGATGATGATGATGATCATGTTGATGATGATGCTGTTGATGATGATCATGATGGTGATTATGTTGTTGCTGTTAATGATGATGACGCTGATGATGCAGCTCGTGGCGATGATGCTATTGATGATGCTGCTGCTCATGATGATAATTACCATGACGATGAAGATGAAGATCACGATGCTGGCGACGTTGATGATGATGCTCATGATGATGACGATGGTGATGGTGATGATGATGAGGATGAGCATGATGAGACCACGATGATGCTAATGATGATGCTGCTCATGATGATGATGCTGATGGGGACGATGATGACGGCGATGATTATTATGAGGATGATGAGGATGATTAGGAAGATGAGGATGATGAGGATAAGGGTTAGGATGATGATGCTGATGATGCTGCTGCTGATGATGATGATGCCGACAATGCTGATGATGATGCTGATGATGATTACGATGATGATAATGATGCTGGTGGTGATGGCGATGGTTACGATGATGATGATTATCATGATGATGATCATGACGATGATGATGATGATGATGATGATGATTAGGATGATGATGATGATGATGATGATGATGATGATGATGATGATGCTGATGATGATGATGATGATGATGATGATTAGGATGATGATGATGATGATTAGGATGATGATGATGATGATGATGATGATGATGATGATGATGATGATGATGATGATGATGATGATGATGATGATGATGAGTATTCTTGTGATGGTGATAATGACCATGATGAGGATGATGATGATAATGATGCTGATGGTGATGATGCTGCTGCTGATGATGCTGATTCTGATTATTATTATAATTATGATGATGATGATGATGATGATGATGATGATGATGATGATGATGAATGATGATGATGATGATGATGATGATGATGATGATGATGATGATGATGATGATGATGATGATGATGATGATGAAACTTGCTCTCTGCGAGTGACCCCCGTAGTGCTACCGGGTCCGCCATGGCCGCGGGTGGCAGGATGATGATGATGATGATGATGATGATGATGATGATGATGATGATGATGATGATGATGAGGAGGAGGAGGAGGAGGAGGAGGAGGAGGAGGAGGAGGAGGAGGAGGAGGGGCAGGAGGAGGAGGAGGAGGAGGAGGAGGAGGAGGAGGAGGAGCAGGAGGAGCAGGAGGGGCCGACGACGACAAGGAGGAAGAAGAGGAGGAGGAGGAGGAGGAGGAGGAGGAGGAGGAGGTGTAGGAGGTGGAGGAGGTGGAGGAGGAGAAGGAGGACGGCGACCAAGACGACGGCGACGGCGACAATGAGGGGGCGTGACGCCAGGGAGCTCGCCCAGAAGCGCTGCCCAATCTGCCGCGCGACCTTCAGCGAGGCCCCCACAGGGGGAGGAGAGCGAGGAAAGGGAGAGGGAGGAGCAGGAGGAGCAGGAGCAGGAAAGGGGTGTCCTCCTCCTTCTTCTCTTCCTACTCCCCCCCCCCCTTAACGTTCCCCCTCTCAGGAGGAGCCCCCTCCCCGCTCCCCCCGCCCCCCGCGGCCAGCCGGCCTCGAGACTCCTCGGGCGGGGCTAGGACGAGGATCAACCCGTTCCAGAGCGCTTCCGAACGCTCACAAGGCGTTCCCGAACGCTCTGAGGAGGCCGCGGCGACCGATCCATCCTCCAGAACCGCCAGACCTCAGATATCCTTGTCCTGGCTTCGTCTCAACTCTCCCTTCTAGCTTTCCTTCCGGCCTCGCTCCGCCCTCTCGCCTCTCGCGCCGCGCTGCCCCTCGGGGCAGCCCGACCGCTAGTGAGCCAGCGTCTTGGAACAGTTACCAGATCTTGCTTATGAGAGACAGAGGCTTGGGACTACGAGTACAGGGCTCACCCTGAAATGCAAGGCGATACACGCACACACATACGCATATATGTGTACATATACATGCATGTTTTCACATATGTATTCATATGTAGGCATGCATGTAGGTCTGTCTGCATGTCTGTCCGTCTGTCTGCCTGTCTGTATGTTTGCCTGTATGGTTGCATGCATGCATGCATGCATGCATGCATGTATCTAGGCATCTATGTATGCATGTATGTATGTAGGTATGTATGTAAGTATGTATGTATGTATGTATGTAGATGTGCACGTATGCATGCTTGCATGTACGTCTGCATGCAGGTGTGTATGCACGCATGCATGCATGCGTGCACGTATATATACTTGCATGTACCAATGTACGTAAAGTCGCATGTGCATACGTACGTACGTATGTGTGGATGTATGCATGCATGCATGCACGCATTTATGTATGTATGTGAATGTATGTACGTCTGTATGTGTGCATGCACGCACGCATACATGCATGCACGCGGGTATTTCTATATCTGTACACGCATGCACGTATCTATGTATGCATGTATGCATATATGCATTCATGCATGTATGTATGTATGCGTGCATGCATGTATGTAATGTATGTATGCATGTATGCATGCATGTATGCATGCATGCACGTCTGTCTGCCTGTATAGATGTATGACGGCGTTCATTTTTAGGCACGTATACATGTTTATTCACAGATGTGGGGACATGTTTATATCTATCTCTATATATATATATATACAGGCACGCATGCATGCACGTATGAGTGCATGTAATCATGCATGCATATATGTACGTATGTATGCACGCACGTCTGTATGTACGTACGTACGTACGTACGTACGTATGTATGTATGTATGTATGTATGTATGCGTGTATGTGTATAATGTACAAAACGCATTGAGTTCCTAAAGCCTCTGGAGACCCACCCACCCGACCCCCACACCGCCCCCACGGCGGTCAGGGGCAAGGAAGGGAAAAGCTAGGGCCGAGTAGGCAAAGCCTGTACAGGTAGGGCGTGTTAAGGCGAAGCCTGTGCAGAATAGGAAACAACAGCAAGCGTCACTCACGATTATCTCGATAATCAACTCCTTTTTTCAACAGACCACGAAATGACCAAAGCCATATCTCCTGTCGATCACAGTTCAGACGTGTCGCAACATGCTTCCAATTAAACTCCCTCGGCCGAGGGTCTCCTTTGTATTTGACCTCATCCGATTCATCAAGGGAAAATCCCCTGAACTCCAAAGGGCGGGATCGGGTGGGCCCGAAAAGCTATGGAAGCACGCTTGCTGTTGAAGAGCATGGCTGGACCAACACTATACATTAATACCCGCTCGAAGACTCTCACTTCATCATAATGTACAAAACGCATTGAGTTCCTAAAGCCTCTGGAGACCCACCCACCCGACCCCCACACCGCCCCCACGGCGGTCAGGGGCAAGGAAGGGAAAAGCTAGGGACGAGTAGGCAAAGCCTGTACAGGTAGGGCGTGCCAAGGCGAAGCCTGTGCAGAATAGGAAACAACAGCAAGCGTCACTCACGATTATCTCGATAATCAACTCCTTTTTTCAACAGACCACGAAATGACCAAAGCCATATCTCCTGTCGATCACAGTTCAGACGTGTCGCAACATGCTTCCAATTAAACTCCCTCGGCCGAGGGTCTCCTTTGTATTTGACCTCATCCGATTCATCAAGGGAAATCTGAACTCCATAACGTATACAACATGTCCGCTCTGAGATAATGCCAAACTCCGGTATCCGATCATACCACTCATATGGCTTTGAACCCACTGAACCTCAGAGCCAAACACCGCTTGCGTACCATAACCAATCGAACTGCGTGTGGGCCCACCGGCCGAGACGGAACCAAAAGGGAGGGCGAGTGGTGGGAAACTGGAGTACCTCCTGCGCGGTCAGCGGTGTCCGCAGCACGGAGGCATCGACTGCCGACTCTATCGCATCCTTGACTCTCGTCGTGATGCGCTCCAGCTCTCTTCCGGGATCGGCCCCTGTGAGTGCCCACAACGGATTAGCCCACTGAAGTTCAAATCCCAATCTAGCGAAATAATATCGTACTGCCAGCACCTCTTCGTCCACTAACAGTACCTCCCAATCCCATATGAAGAAGCTCTCCGTGAAATTGAACTGGGAGGAGAGCCGCGCCGCCACTGGCGCCCTGACAGATACAGCGTTAATGGAACCCCACAACTCCACTGCCAGGTCATCTGGCACCACGGACAGCCCCCGCTCGAGCTCCTTCATCATACTGGGGCGAGAGCGTGCACCAATGTCAACGACGAAGCGGCCGCCTGTGACGTTCAAGCGGCAGCCCAGCAGATCTATCCCAGACCACGCTTCATCCACAAACGTAGCAGAATTTCTTGCAACTGATAGCGCAACCCCACTCACGGCCAAGGTCAGGTTCCTGGCCGCGAGGGCCACAGCCCCACCTGCGCCTGCCACATCCTCCACCAGGGACGCCGCAGCCTCGGCGCCCCTGGACATGTTAGGAAAGAGGCTCGACGGGAAACTGACGACGAGCACCATGAGGATGATGGCAGGCACGAAACACGGGCCGCAGAGAATCTGGAGCACCCTACTGTAGCCAACAACCGACTTGAGGTAGCTTCCCTTTTGCGCCCTGGTCTGCTGCGGCTTGCATGGTGCCTGCGCGTAGAACTGCAGCTTGCCTGTCATCGGCTGGCCTGCTGCCTCCGGAGGTGGGATTGCAAGCACAGTGGCGGGCGGCAGCGTACCCGGGCTCTTGGCCTTGGGCGGCGTGAGGACGAGCGAAACTGCCCCCGGCGATGCCGTCCGCGACGTGGCCCTTGACGGCGGAGCACTGACGCACTGCACCCAACTGGACGGTGTCCCAGGCGGGCTCGGCAGTGGTGGCACGTTCTCCTCCGTCAAGTCCGGGCCCTTGATCCACCCCCCAGTGTTCTTGTCCTTGACGTAGCCCTTGGGCGCCATATCCTGGAGGAAGGTGCGCTCCCCAGACGAACGCAGGAAAGTACTGGCGCCACCCTCTTTTGAGCCAGTGCAGCTGCTGCGCAAAGCCCTTCGTGTTTAGCTGGGTGAGGATGTGGCCCGCACCGACGATGTCAAGATAGATGCGCAAACTCCCATCTGAGATCCACCTCCCTCTCTCCCGAACTTCTTCAAACGAGAGCCCTTCGGCCCTCGAGTCACTCGCCCATCCTGCTCTAGGGCTGTGAGGCCCCCAACCCATAGATAGGCCCAACGAGCCTTCGGTGTCCTTGAGAGTCTTACGATACTGGGCTAGGCTGAAGGGGAAGAGCGGAGTCCCAGCTGGGGTGGCCCTCGTGATCTCCTCAAGCACCTCCATGATGTCCCTGTCCTCCTGGAATATGCGTGCCACCTGGGGCCTCTTGAGCTTTGTCCCCGTACGAGCCCCAAGAGCGATAGAGACCGAGGCGATGTTGATGTTCTCGCCCAAGTCTCGAGGGAAGATGAGGTCCTCCGGTAGTATTCCCAAGAGCTCCGAGGGGCGTAAGCCCGTATGGCATTGCACGATGAGAGCAAGGCCCAGACGCGGGTTCCCTCTGGCGGCCATGTGAACCCCGAGGAGCTTACCAGGCAACTTCCCGAGAGGCACCGTATGTTTGCGCCCAACATTTCTTTCCCAGCCTGCAATGACAGCCTTGCTCCACAAGAGTCTCCCCCGCATGCGAGGGAAGAAGAACTCAACTGCTGCAACTGTATTCACGAATATCGCTGGAGTGAGGTTCTCAATCTGACCTTTTTTGAACTCAACTAGAAGGTCGTCCCATTCGTCAGCACCGCTGGGACGCAGGCCGCGCTGGAGGGCCCAGGTCGAAAACCGAAGCCCAGCGCTGCGATATACTTCTAAAGTCTTCTCAGTCACCCGCGCGGCCTGGTCAGGGTCGACTCGACGAGGTCCGACCCGCCGAGCGCACCAAGCCACTCCGCTTCCTCCTTGACAACTCATCAGCTGTCTGGTGTGCGGTGTCCACCCAGGGTAGGTATAGTTTGATGCCTGTTGCCACTGAAAGTACACTAATCTTCCTCAGCAGGTAGTTGAGATGCGGGGCCGATGAACGCCCCTTTGCTGCTGCTGAGGACAACGGCTCATTATCCTCCATGTTGCAGATAGCGTGGTCATGAGCTCCTGGAAGAAGAGAGAGCGCCTGACAAAGTCTGACCACGGCTCGGCCTTCTCCCAAGATGATGTGGTCAGGCGAGCGCCAGCGTCCCGCGTCCAGCTCGTGCCACATCTCCTGAGGGATCTGCAGCAGCTCTCGCGGGATGCGTGACACCGGGATGCGGCCACGCAGCTCTCGATCAGCACGGTTCAAATGGAGGACCGTGCCGTCCAGCCTGGAAACTGTATGCCCAGGCCTCGTACCCGCTCCGATGATTTGTTCTGACTCACTCTGGGTGATGGGCGTCACGACGATGCCGTACCCGCCGTGGTCGACTCGGTTGGCGCCCTCCGCATCCGAAGCAAAGAGTACGGGC